GCACCTTAGTCTCCAGAGAGACACCATTGCTCTTCAGTACTTTGGAGAGGTCCCTAACAGCAGACTTTCCCATGCAAAACGTCTTTTAATTTACATCAAGGAAACCAGTCTAGCGCAGTATATAGCAGCAAAAGTGTTCACACTGAAGCCATTCTTTCCTTCAAAGACCTCACAGAACAAGACTACAAAACTGAGAACTGGCTTTTATTGGTATATAGATTGCTTGTTTTAAAACTTTTTTTTTACATAATTGTAGACTAATTTTAATTTGACAAGTAATTGCTATGATACTATCCACTAATCTCTCTACTTCCCTCTGTTCTCAAATTACTAGTTATGCGTACTTCATATAAATACATAGATATCCTCTCTTCTTTGCATGTTTGCATTTCTGCAGGTCACCATTATTGCAGATGATAACTGCAGATTTTTATGCTGGTCAAGAGAAAGGTTAACTTACTTTCTGGAATCAGAACCTTTCTTGTATGAAATATTCAGATATCTTATTGGGAAAGACATTACAAATAAGCTCTACTCACTGAATGATCCTACCATAAATGATAAAGTAAGTGCTTTTCCAAGTTTATTTTGTTAAGTAAATCTGAATGATGTTAAATGATACATAGCATACTAAACAATGTTAAATGATACATACTTTGTTGAATAAACACGTAGAGTGATATATGCCTCACTTTTTGTAATATGTATTTTCCTGAATTTTTATCAATTAGTCATATTTTATGTATAAGATTTTTCTTGGAATCATTTTCATAAGAGTACTGAAATATTTTTAAATTAGCATACTTGACAGGACTTAGTAAAATGCCTCAACAAGATGAATTGACACAAAGACTGTAAAACTGGTCTTGAATATTATGGCACTTCTAATGATGGTGTAGGAGATGGCCACATTTCCATCTGTGTTTCATGGCATTGCTGTGAGTTGCAATTGACTTGACAGAACCTAACGATCGCAGTAAGGAATTTTAGAGAGCTCTAGAGGCAGTGTCCATAGGGAGTTGCCCTACTAACTCAAAGACCACACCTCTCTGACAGTTTGAATCCACCAGCAACTTCAGAGGAGAAAGAGAAACCATCTCCTCCTATGGAAATTACAGTCTCAAGAAACCTGCTGGAGGAGCAGCAGTGAAGCTGTTCAACAGCAATGAGGGGGTGTTTTGGTTGTTGGGTTGTTTTTTTTCCCCCCGACAACCAAGTCTCCTAACTTTATTTGTAAAGAATTTGAAAAAGAACCAACCTCATACCTTTTAAAAAAATGTACAACCGATTGTCAGTGGAGTTTGGAGTTTACAAGTAAACTCATGTCATAGGTAGAGACATAATGAATATATTATTCTTTTTTTAAATGTTTAATATTTGTTGACAAATAGCTGACTCCATTAATCGCAATAACGAGATTGATTACTCATCCTTCTCTCACACAGAGCAGCTGGTGGATTTGAACCACAAGCCTTTGGGATTGCAGTGCAGCTTCTTGCCACTAGGCCACAAGAGCTCCCTGAATATTTTATTCTAAGCATTGCTTCCCATGCCTGATCTCTCTTCCTCTGTAAATGTTTTTTATTGTGATTTTAACTAAAGTTTTCAGAAAAATTGGATTTTTATTCATTCATTGTTGTACATTTTCCTCCCTACCTCCTACCACTTCACTTAAAAAAAATATTCATTGTAGCATAATTTCTCCCTCGCTGCCCTCTGACCGTCTGCAGTCAGTTTTGCTATGCACTTCTTATTCTGGACCTTTGTCATACACATAATCCATAATCTTACATTCCTTTTAAACAGTTCTTTCCTTTATCTGTTCCAAAGCAGTATTCATTATGTATCCCCTCTTTTCTTAGTTTCTTCCCAACCCCCATGGCAGTCCTGTTTTAAAACACTGGTGTTATGCAGTTTTTGTCCTTTTGTGGCTGATTTATTTCACTCACATAATGTCCTTGAGAGTCACCCATATTGTGCAATATTTTATGAGTTCCTTATTTTTCTTTACTGCATAGTATTCCATTGTGAATATACCATAGTTTTTCTATCCATTCTTTTGTTCATGGGCACTTGGGTTACTTCCTTCTCTTTACTATTGTAAATAATGCAGTAATAAATATGGGTGAGCATATATCTGTTTGAGTGGCAGCTCTGGTTTCTTTAATGGAATATTCCCAGTAGTGGAATTGAGGAGTCAAATGGTATGTATATTTCCAACTTTCTTAGAAAACATACAAACATCATACCACCTTCCATAGTGGTTGCACCATTTTGCACTCCCACCAGCAGTGAATAAGGGTTCCAGTTTCTCCACAACTGCACCAACATTTGATGGTTGCTGTTCTGTTAAATTTTGCTATTCTGACTGGGGTGAGATGATTTCTCATAGTTGTTTTGATTTGCATCTCACTTAGAGCTAGAGATTTTGAACATTTCTTCATGTGTTTGTTTGCCATCTAAATGTCTTCTTTGGTAAAGTCTGTGCATATCCTGTGCTCATTTTGCTATTGTATTGTTTACATTTTTTCCTAGCAACAAGGGCTTTTTAGAAGTATGGCATACATAAATGCTGGAACCTCTGTTTTAGTGAGGATGTACTATCCTCTTCATAAAGAGTCTCTTAATCTAACAAAGATAGTTTCATGAGTCAGAGGAGGTGGAGGTGGAGTTGACTGTGAAGGACAGAACAGTGCTGATCGAGAAATTCTGACCAAATGCTATTGTATGGAAATTTGGCATTATTCATTCAAGTGCCTTCTAGTCTCACACATCTTCCTCTCTAAGCTCCTCCAAGAAAACTCACAGAGGACTAAAGAGGAAGGGTAGAATACAGCTAGTGATTTTAGAGCTGTATTAGAAAAGTTTCAATTTGGTCTTAATTGCTCAACACTTGCTTAGAAAAAAAGTGAAACTGATTACAGAAGAGAAGTTGTGAAACACTGCAGTGACTGGGGGAGTGGGGATAGCTGTGTCAGAGACGATGAACTTGACTCAAAATATAGCAGAGTTCAAAGCTGTCGTACATAGGGCCACTATGAGTCGGAGTCATCTCAATGGCACATGATAAGTAAGGACATGTGCACTCCTAAAGCCGTCTTATCTTAGTGCTTTCTCAAGTTGAGTTGATGGTAATTATATTTCAGAATAATAAATAGGTAATGAATTTTATAATTTCATTGTAAATTTATGCCATTTTCTATAATATAGTTAATGTGATAACTAAGAGTCTTGAACATATCATGGACTACAAAAAAAAAACACCCCAAAAAGATCTGTCTTGGAGAGGGTGAAGCCAAGTTTGGAGGCTAGGCCTTTGAAGCTCTGTTTCACATACTTTGAGCATGTGGCCAGATGAAACCAGTCCTTGGAGAAGGACGTCATACTCAGAAGGGTAGAGGGACAGTGCAAGAGAAGAATACCCCACATGAAACGGATTAATACAGTGACTGGGGCAGTGGGGGTTGATGTGTCAGAATTAGTGAGACTAGCTCAGGACAGGGAAGGGTTCAGAGCTGCTGTACATAGGGTCACAGGTGATTTGATGGAACATAACAACAAGAAGAAGAAACGGCTATATTTATTGACGACTCGCCTTGTTGCAGGTAGTCTTTTCTATTATTAACTTATTTGAAGGAAGAGTGAGTAGTATGCTATTTAATATGATTTATGTATTACAAAACTCAGCTATCTTCAAACTTTGGTTCACAGAAAGTCAAGCTGAGCCTCTGCACACAGATCTCCATGCTAGAAATGAGGAACAGCATAGCCAGTTCCAGCGACAGTGACGATGGGTTACACCAGTTTCTTCGAGGGAACTCTAGTGTCTCCTCTCTTCGTAAGTTACCCCAAAATTGATAAGGCTTGGTCCAGGGTGCTTATAAATGCAGCACGTTGTTGTTGTTGTTTGCCTTTGCATCAAGCACGACTCTATGAACAAAAGGCCTGAAGCCCCTCTACAACTGTCGACATTTATCAAAGTTCATAGAGTTTCTGGAGGCATGTTGTTTGGAAAGTGGATACCACTCCTGCTTCCAAACCTGTTATAGTATGTTATGTTGTTATAATGCCATTGAGTCTCCTATGATGTATCACGACCCTACATACAGCAGCTCTGAACCCTTCCCTGTTCTGAGCCAGTCTCACAAATTCTGATACACCAACCCCCATTGCCCCAGTTACTGTATCAGTCCATCTCACCCAGGGGTCTTCTTCTCTGGTGCTGTAGCATATAGACAAATAAAACTTTGATCAAAAGAAGAATTTTGCAAGTAACTACTTGACAACCTAAAGGTAAATTTTGTCTATTTTCCCCCTCATATTGCATAGCAGCTAATACCTAATGGCGCCCTGGTGCCTAGTGGATAAGGAGTTGTGCCCCCAACCTAAAGGCAAGCACTCGACTTCACCAGCTGCTCAGAGGAATATGGGCACTCTTCTCTCGTGTGATTTACTGCTTCTGAAAACCTACTGAAGCAGCGTCAGCTATAAGTTGGTCCCAACTCAACAGGACGTAACAACAACAGAACTATTTTCTTTCTTTTGTAGGAATTGTTCACTTACCCACTAGCCATATGCTCTATGTAAATATTGGTTCACTGGAACTTTGTAAGAGAGCCCATGTGGTTTGGTATATATTTTGCTTAATTGTTGTCTGTGATTTTTGGTAAAATGGAAACTTTCCCCAGCAGTAGTGTGTAAACATAACAGGAAAACCGCTAGTGGCTGCTTTCTGTGAAATGGTTGTCTAACAAAGTAAGGACCAGAATGCTGTGGAAATGAAGTATTCCTGACAATGGTGGAGGTTTTTTAGCATTTCTTTGAGTTGCCTCATTCACAACCCCACCAGGATGCAAATTTTCCAACAAATTCTTCTTTAATTTAGATTGTTTTAAAGTATTCTCAGTAAGACAAACAGAACAGATGCTGAGTAAAATGAAATACTAAGTAAAATGAGAAAAAATAAATTATTTAACAGTACTGCTTTAAATTCTTTTAAGAAATATCCTAAGCATGATGCTATAAGAACTATGAGCAAATTTATATGAAATAACAGAAAAAAGTTCCTCCACTGCTTATATTAAGAACTACTCATATGCTCAAATATTTATGAAACTGTAGTAAATTTTTAAAAAATGCACAAACACATTTAATAATATGAAAAGTTTACCTGATTTTACAATTTTTGAAGATTTGAATAATTCAGAGTTAATTCAGAGTTACCTCATTACTGGAAAAACAGGATCATATTTATAGTTAGAAAGACCATTTCCAGATCCATCTTGAAACACAGTATTATGACTGATAAGATCATATCCACATGGGGCAAAACACATGGAAAGAATTTTCACAGGGGAAGTTGTTCAGATGGCCAACAGACACATGAAGAAATGTTCAAAATCACTGGCAATAAGAGAGATGCAAATCAAAACCACTATGAAATAGCTATCTTACCCCAATAGCAGTGGCAAAGTTTAACAGTACAGCAAGTAATAAATCTTGGAGAGGATATGGTGAGATAGGAACACTGTGGATGGGATTATAAAATGGTACAACCACTCTGGAAGGCACTTTGGTGCTTCCTCAAAAGTTTGATCTTAGATATTCCATATTACCCAATTATTCCACTGCCTGGAATACACCCCAAGAAAAAGACAACTGTAGCACAAATGGAGACTTGTACACAAAGCAGCTCTATTCACCGTTGCAAGAAAATGGAAGCAGTCCAAATATCGAACCACAAGCAAATAGATTGAGAAATTGTGGGACATTGAGATGATGAAATACTATGCAGCACACAGCAGCAATGATTTTGAAAATCACTATCTATCTTGGAAGGGACTGGAGAGTCATTATGCTAAGTGAACTAACTCAGTTCCATAAGGACATACACTGTATGAAATGAGTATTGGAGAAATGGAACGATAACTAGCTAAACGTGTATGAGGATCCAAGGAGGGGAGGGTGGAAGCAGAGGGGTGAGGATGGGCAGGGTGGGGGGGTAATCATAGGGTTACACAATTTGATGATGGAGGGAAGGGTGTGTAAAGGAAATGGAAAAGATCCAATATGAAAAACAATGTGTACAAACTTTATAAGTAAGCCAATATAAAATAAAAATTTTATTTTTTTAAAAAAATAATACCCATGTTGTTGTTGTGGTTATGTACCGTAGAGTTGCTTGCATCTCATAGTGACCCTATGCAAAACAGCTCTAAATCCTGCTCTGTCCTGAGTCAACCTTATCATCTCTGAGACCCCCACCCCCATTACCCAGTCTCTGAGTCAATCCATCTCACTGAGGGTCTTCCTCGCTGGCGCATTCCCTCAACCGTCCCAAGTATAATGTCCTTCTCCAAGGATTAGTCCTTCCTTGCAACATGCCCAAATGTCAGCTTCAGAATCCTTGCTTTCAAGGAGCAGCCTTGTTTCACCCTCTTCAGGAAACCCCTTTTTATTCTCTTAGCAGATCATAGTATATTCAGTACTCTTCTCCAGCATCACAGCTCAAAGGCATCGATTCTCCTATCATCCCTAGTCATTGTCCAGCTTTCTGATGCATAGCATTTAAATGCAAAGACCATCGCCTGGATCATACATACCTTAGTCTCCTGACTGACAAAATTACTCTTCAGTACTCTGAGATATTACTGACAGCAGACTTTCCCAATACAATTTGTCTTCAGTGCAGTTTGTCTTTTGATTTCTTGGTCACTGGTCCCAAGAGTGTTGATTGTGCAGCCAAGCAAACTAAAGCTGTTAACAACTCATTCTTTCTGCCATCTGTCATGATGCTGCCAAATGGCCCAGTGGTGAGAATCTTTGTTTTCTTGATATTGAGCATCAGTCCATATGGAAGGCTACAGTCCTTGACCTTCTGCAGCAAGTGCTTCAGGTCCTCAGTTTAGCAAGCACAATTGTGTCATCTGCATATCTCAGGTTGTTGATGTGTCCTCCTCCAGACCTGATGCCAGACTCCCAGATGATCTGTTCTACATATAGACTATAAAGGTAGGGAAATAGGACACATCCCTGGTGTACACCCTTCCCAATTTTGAACCAAGCAGTGTGTCCTTACTTTATTCTGACAGCTGCCTCCTGGTCCAAGTAATAGGTTTTTTATAAGCGCAATCAAGTGTTCTGGGATTTCTTTTCTTCTCAGAATCAGTCACAGTTTGTTGTGATCCACACAGTCAAATTCCTTTGCACAATTAATGAAATACGAATGGCCATTTCTCTGGTGCTCTCTGCTTTTTGCTAAGATCCATCTAACATTAGCTATAATATCTCTAGTACCACAACTTCTTCTAAACCCAACCTTTACATCTAGCAATTCTCTGTTGATGTACTGTTCTGGTCATGTTTAGATAATTTTCAGCAGAATTCTTGCTTGCATGTGATATTAATGATATTGTTTGATAATTTCCACTTTCTTTTGGGCCATCTTTCTTTGGAATGGGAACAAATGTGTATCTATGCCCATTAGTTGACCAAGTGGTTTTCCTCCAGATTTCTTGGCACAACTTGGTGAGTACATTCAGGACAACTTCTGTTTTTTGAAATATGTTGATTGGTATGCTGTCAATACCCATATGCATACAAAAACATTTGTTATTACATCATCATACAAATATATGCACCAACAACCAGAGCCAAAGAAGAGCAAACATTATTTCTACCAACTTTTGCAGTCAGAAATTGATCGAACATGCAACCATTATGCACCAATAATAATAGGTAACTGGAATCTAAATCTTGGGAAAAGAGGAAAAGGATCAGTAGTTGGAAAACATGGGCTTGGTGACACAAATAAGGCTGGTGATAAAATGATAGAATTTTGAACAGTCAGTGATTTATTCATTGCAAATATCTTTTATAAGAAATGCAGAAGGTGACTATACACATGGACCTCACCTCATGGTCTGCACAGGAATCAGATTGATTACATCTGTAGAAACAATCATTGGAAATTTCATATTTCAGTATCAGCTGTGAAAACTAGGCCAGGAGCTTATTGCGGAATGGACCTTCAACTACTCATATGCATGTTCATACTGAAGTTAGAGAAAATTAAATCCACAAGAATAAAACCTTGACCTTGTGTCTATTCCACCGGAATTTCAAAACCATCTCAGGAACAGGTTTGAGACCTTGAACACTAATGAGCGAAGGCCAGATGAGCTGTGGGAGCATATCAAGAATATCATCCATTTAAAAAAAATTCATTCATGTTGAACAACTACCGCTCCCCCGTCCTCTTTGCAATGTACCCCATATTCTAGTCTGTTGTCATATGTATAATGCCTTATCATATGTTCCTTTTAAACTCCTTTTATTTCCTTCATCTGTTCCAATGCAGTGTTCATTATCTATCCACTCCTATTCTCCTCCCAATGCCCCGTCAATCCTTTGTAACAGTAGTGCTATGCAGTATTTGTCCTTTTGTGGCTGAGATATTTCATTCAGCATAATGTCCTTCAGGGTCACCCATATTGTGTAATGTTTTATGAGTTCATTGTTTTTCAGTGCTGCGTGTTACTCCATTACATGAATATACATATTTTTTAACTTTTCATTTAAATTACAGTTAAATGAAAGAAATATATTTAAAAAAGAAATATCATCCATGATGAATACAAAAGGTCATTACAAAGACCGAGGAGAAAGAAAGACCACTATGGCTGTCAGAAGAGACTAAATATTGCACTAGAGCACTGGGAAGCTAAAGCAAAGGGAAGAATTCTGGAAGTTAAGGAGATGAGCAGAAGATTTCAAAGGGCAGCGCAAGAAGACCAAGTGAAGTATTATAATGAAATGTGCAAAGATCTGGAGTTGTAA